GTTACAGAATGAGAACATGGATCCATCATGCCTTGTTACCACTGTGCAGGTTGGTGGTGGTGGTGTAATGGTTTTCTTGGCACACTTTAGCCCCCTTAGTGTCAATTGGGCATCGTTTAAATGCCACAGCCTACCTGAGCATTGTTTCTGACAATGTCCATCCCTTTATGGCCACCATGTACCCATCCTCTGATTGCTACTTCCATCAGCACCATGTCACAAAGCTCGAATCATTTCAAATTGGTTTCTTGAACATGACAATGAGTTCACTGTACTAAAATGGCCCCCACAGTCTCCAGATCTCAACCCAATAGAGCATCTTTGGGATGTGGTGGAATGGGAGCTTTGTGCCCTGGATGTGGATCCCTACATAACATGTTTAATGTTAACATGTTTATTATCATAACATGTTTAATTAGGCTAATGAAATTAACATTTGACTTCTACTGGGCAAACAGCAAAAAGGCATAGGCTGGACCTGCACCACCAATGAGAGATGAAGAGGAGACACACAATATTGGAAGAATATTAAAATCCAAGAGGAAAAAGAATAACTGTTGCGTTTGTATTAGTGCTGACCAAATAAATTGTGAATAATTTGTGTGTGTGGTGTAGGGAGCTCTGGGTAGAGGTAGTTACCTTTGTTTTCTGGTAGCTGTACTCAAATCTTTGAGTGGACAGAAGCACTGGTCCTCATCCACCTTCTAAAACTCTAACGCCTGGCTCCTCGTGCCACACCCCGGTACACCGCTTTAGCTGGCGAGCTAAAGGGCGTTAGGGGGTGATGTCTACACTACATCACTGGGCGAATGAACTCCCACGACGGAGTCACTGGCCACTTACCAGTTATGGTCTGAAATAGCAGGGAAGGCAGATCTCTTCTTTGGTAGGCCTTCTGTCTAGGAGAGGGAAACTCTGATGTAAAACCTAGAGCCCGAGGACCTCGCTGTCACTGTCCGAGCTTGCTAGGCCATGGCGGATGAACCCCGGGTTTAAAGGGTGGGGTCAGTTCTGTGCACACTGCACACCACTTGAAAGCTTCTTTGCGCAGGCAAGAAGGAAATTTGACTATACGAACATGTCTGGAACAACAACCACCTAAAAAGAGACACAAAGGTCAGTGTATACAAAGCTGTTGTGCTGACCACGCACAGTCCATCAAGCCACTTCCCTCTTTGAAGATGCCCGCAGGGCCAGTATGGAGGACAAAAGGAGTAGAAAGAACCGTGTCCCCATCCCGGACCAGACCTTTACCTGCAGCTGTTGCGGCAGGACCTGTCTGTCTCGTATAGGCCTCATTAGCCACCAGCGTGCCTGTAGAAAACGTGGATGAATGTGTGTGTATTAACAGCTGTGGTGATGGTTATGGCATTGGCTATATCTCGGACTATCCTTCCATCAGGCATCCTTCAATTGCATGAAAATGTGCAATGAATGAATATACTGCACTGCAAAAAATGCTTTTCTTACTTAGCATTATTGTCTTGTTTTCCGTCAAAATATCAAAAGATTCTTAAATCAACATCCGTTTACATAAGAAAACCTGCTCCCGATCAGGTTAGGTTCACATGTTACCATGGTAAGTTACCATGGTAACCGAGTATAAGTTACCTCTTTCAGAAACGGGCTTGACTTACTCCGCTTTCTTGGCTTTGACATACCTCCCATTCTAAAACGGAAAACCCAGAGTTTCCCTCCTTTCTAAGAAAGGCCCCTGTAGCAAATGCAACATTTAATAATATACATAAAATGTATTAAAGGGGGCCAGAAGGCCAAATTAGCTCAAAGGGGAATGATTCATTGATTTGCAATGAATCTATGGGACCGAGCAAATGACTTGTTTACAGTTCATTTGAACGGGCCGTAATTATAACCTTTGCAAGGATATAAATACCAAATCTATAGTGAAACACTATGTCTTAGCAAGGTAACTTTAGATCGAACAGTACAAGACATTAAATGTGCAAACACAACACAAGGTAAATTATCTTTTCAAATATATGGAAGACTTTATTAGCTATTCTAAACACAAAACTAAGGTCTAAACATAATCACACACACACACACACACATTCATACAAGGCGCAGAGGAAAAGAGAGAGTTGGAAAGAGGGAGAGAGAAAGTTTAAACTTTCTATATGCACGTAAGACAAGACCTGAAAGGACCACCAAGCATTAATTTAAACCTTTGTTTCTTTGAGAGGTTATTCAATTTACATTAAAGCACCAGTTCAGCTAGAGTCTGGAGTACTTGCTTGTTTTGCGTGGCTTAGGGAATTCCTATTGTCGTTGTGTCGAAGGAGGTTTCCCGGGCCGGGTCCGCGTGGCTGGTTGTCTTTGAAGTGCCTGGATGGAAGATCCCGAGCTTGCCGGTCACGTGGGCGTTAGTAGGCAATGAGAGTCCTTACGGTTCGAAGCGCGTTGCGGAGAGCCGTTTAAAACGAAGCTTTGCAGCAAACTTAACTTTGAAACGAGACTCTTACGAAAAATAAAATAAAGGAAAGAAATGAAAGTAAGGCGAGTTGGATGGCTTGAATGAGCTGTTTTAACCCCGGTCTCGATGGGTTATTTTGTCTGCTGGTCGAATTTGGTCTAGTCGATGTAGAAGCGTGCAAACACGCTCTTTGTTTCAGAGAGAAGCGCGAACAGGAACACTCTCTTGCTGTTTTAGAGAGGAGGCACGAACTTAACAGTTACAAACTGAACAAACTCAGAACGAACGAAAACTGAACAGAAAAACAAAACATGAGGACTTGCTCCTTTGTTCGGATCTTTAACTTAAAACTCAGTCCAACCTCCCAGAAGCTTCTGGCCAATGGGACAATGGCATAATTTTAGGAGGTGGATCTAACTTCTTGCGTATCACTATATTGTGATCTGCCTGGTTCTCCCGCACTTAGCAGAGAAACAAGAGAACACAGATAAAACATTAAAAAGATTATTATAATCATAAAACAGAGCATTTTACACAGATTTCAATCAAGCCATCTTTTGAACTAAAAGTGTACCATTCTTTTGATAGGAAGCACGATACCTTTTCATTCATACTTCTAATAGTTGTATAACAATTACAAGAGTTAATAGTTAACAACAAATTACATGATTAATATGTGATCTAAGCATAACAAACGCAACACATGGATTGCAGAAATAGTAGCAAACATAGAATTAAATGTTTGAGTAGAAGTCCATTGAAAATTGTTCTGAAGTGCGTTTATGTGTAAAGGGTGTAAATCTGTGTTACTCTCATGTTCCATGAAAGGTGTCTGTTATGTCTTTGTCCGGCTCAACAGTGATGATGTTGGGGGAGGTCAAAGGTGGTCAGGCCTCTTGGTGGTCAGGCCTTTCTAGACTCAGATTTGTCTTAGTAAAACATTAACACATTGACAGTTCTTCCTGTTTAGTGCCTTAGTTATCTTTTGGGCCTGCGGCCATAAAGAAAAACTTATCTGGGGTTTTCCTTGTCATCCCGTGACTCCGGAATGTGGTGTTAACTCACATAGGTTCCGTTGTGTTTGGTTCGCTCCCCTCCCCAAAGTCTCTACACTCCTGATGAGTTGATTCAGCTGTGTTTGATTATTACAAGTTGGAAAATATGTAGTGTTGGTGTGTCTCCAGAAACAGGGTTGGGAAACACTGGTCTAGAAATACAACAACCGTCATGTTTACACCATGGTTTACACAGCGAGCACAAAGCCTCTACATCTTACTCCCCAGATCTCAACATGGGGTCAAGAGAGGCATGACTGATGAAGATTTTTTGCATTTATTGAAGGATTTCAGCTACAGAAGTTGTAAATGGTTTGATACACACAAGTGTTTGTCACCTCACTTTTGGTAACAAATAGAAACTACCAGAGTTAACTGTAGAGGTATTCTTTTGTTGAAGCCAACAGTCTGCATTATTTAACGTAATCCAGACATCCCAAGTCTCCCGGAAGTTCCGGGAGTCTCCCGCATATTGATAGCGTCTCCCTGATGCCCGCAAATTAGTTCAAATCTCCCGGAATCTAGAGCGAGACATACTGCGCGCATAACATACATAGCGCGCTGCGCGTGCACTGTACAGAGGGAGAGACCGAGTGTGCCTCGCAGACGCGAAAGTTAGCCCTCCCTCCCTCCCTCCCACCCAAGATCCTGTTACCGAAATATACCTCCCGGAAATGAATTCTTGCAGGTTGGGATGTCTGGTAATCTTAACATCAGTTTAACATCAGAATTCCTATGAAAAATCAGTCCTCATGATTATGCAAAGAAGCTCCACCAATCAGTGAACTGCATCGAACAAATTGCACGAAAAGTCTTCATACTTCAGTCTTAAAATACTTCTATAGGCCTTTACATTTTGCAGTAAACCTAAATTATATTGTTTATATATAATAAACAACTACAGTATGAATAAATCATGTCATTCACACTGCTTCATAGGATTGTAGTTCTTCTATCCCTCATTACAGCGGTTAAGTGCACAGAATTGTACTGTTGTCTTTTCGTCCCATTTTCAAATAGTATTGTGCTTCAAATCATTCATTTATTGATTCAAATAGGATTCATCTCGTAGCCGTTTGGTTTGGAACCAAACCAAATGGCTACGAGATGAATCCTATTTGAATTATAATGCTTTAACAAATGCAGATGAAAAAGATGGGAACCGTTGCACCCTGTACTCTTTATTTTCAGTAAATGCACAGCTGAAGTAGTCCCAGCATTACAGTTCCATATTATTTTGCAAAATTGTTTTAGTTAATTCTTAGATCTGTGCAGCCAGCCACGACAACAATGTGTTGCTTCATGGCCACATAACCACCTTGGTGTGTTTTATCCTGTCTATAACTGAATAGGTTGTTATCATTATGTTTAATTCATTGTTTTCTCTCTAAAGAAGACTAAATTACATCTCAATTACAGAAAAATACACAGAGAAAATATGTCTAACTGAAAAATATCTTTTCTCACTTTCTTTGTTATTTAGCATGACTTAAAACACAAACTTTTTAATATTGTTTTTTCTTTTATTTTGATAAAATATTTAAATATTCCAAACATTTCATATAGACATAATGGCTAAATAAATGTATTCTTAAAACATGTATTCTTCACTTAAATAAATAAATAATATATAATTGAACCATACATAAAATAAAATGAAATTTCATGTATGGGTGCTTTTAGTAAGAAAACAAAAACATAATATCACATGAAATGAGTAATAAAAGCAGTAGGTAAGTTCTCACAGAGATCAGGAGATCAATCCAATGACCATGATCTCATTTAGCAACTTATGAGACATGGTCATGTGCTCAATAAATAACCTTTGTATAGAAATATAATACTGAAAAGTAATTTCACATATTGAGTTAAATTAAATGTTGCTTTCTGAGGCAGATTGTGAAAAATACAGCAGTTTAAGGTAGCTATTAAATTGCTAAATTAATAAATAATAAATAAGATGTGAAGTGAAATATAAAATAAATAGTAAATAATAATAAATGCACAAAATACAAAATACTGAGAAAACTCATGGTGCAACATGAAGGTTTCCAGTGATGAATAAATTATCCAACTACTTTGAAAGCAAAGACGCTGAATGATGCAACAAAAACACAGCCAGTTAGGGGCCATTTTCCCGACACCTTTTTCAACTAAAAACGGAAGACTTTTTATGCGTTTTGGCTGTTCTTTTACACTACAACAGCATTTTGGGGGTCTGAAAACGCAACCTTTAAAAAACGGGAATTTCAAAGTGCACGTTTTTTTTTAAAACTTTATCGCCTATGTGTAAACTAAAAAAAAAAGTGAATTTGTGAAAACGTTGATGTTGTTTTGCTTGTCACTTGCGCTTGACAAGCAAAGTATGCAAAGTATACTTCAGTTTACACGTACATCAGGGTACAGTGCTGTGTGCGCCGCCTGGTTTTTGCGTAGGCTACTCTATAGAGTGCATATGTCGGGTTCATTTTCTCCATAGAGAATTTTATTTTTAACCTATAAGCCTTTTAAAACAGACAAACTAAACGCCTACTCCATTGAAGGACCCATGAAATTACGAAATCAAGTCTCGCTCTCCTGTCAAAACTGAGATTTTCTGAAAAATGTATGGGGAAAAAACGGTGCTACAAGGCTACAATTTTGATCGGTCACAGTTCTGGAGAGAAAGAGTGCAGACACTTGACAAAGAATAAACTTTCCAGTTCACCCTTGTCGTCACTAAGTGTTTACATTAAAACTGAAGTACATTTTGTGCTTAATGGTCTAGACCTCACAGAGCTTTACACAGAGCTGCACAGTGTTGGTATTCTCTGAGCTGGACTTATCGGAGATCAGACTGAGGATACTGCGGAGGACATCACTACTGAAGTCCTGAAGCTGTTGCAGAATGAGGTGGGCTGCCACCTCAGTCATGTATTCACTTGTCAGGTGTTTGGTCAGATCATGATGCTTGTCTGATGCCTGCTTTGACTGGTCAAATCCCGCCTGTTTCTGCAACTGTGAAAATACATAAATATATGAACCATTGCCATCTTAATACGACTTTTCATAAGATCAGGTTGATGTTTTAAATTACTTTAGATTAAACACACTACTTGATTGTGAGCTATCTGCTAAGAGCTATCTACCAAGAGCTATCTGCAATATGATTCCAGACATGATTTTAATTTAGCACTGCTTGAAATAAGCTTCTAAATCAAGCCATGACTAACACTCATGCAATTCAGGAACTGAGACTGCAAAATAGTAGTACAAAACAATCATATAAATTTCCTCTGTGGGTTAACAGAAGAACAGTCACCAAGTCTAATTCCATACCTTTTTGATTAGAAGCAGAAGGTCTCGAATTTCAGTCGGAAGTTCATTCACAGTCTGGTTCAGCATGGTTGAATTGCTGATCTCTTTCAAGAGATTCAGATGTAGTTGCAGTCCCTTCACTATGTGAGCAAAGCAGGTTTCCTGTGACAATAAAGGAGAGATCTCACAATTTATTTTTCGGAACTTTCAATGCTGCTATATGTGTCTTTAAATTGTGTTCCTCTGAAAATCTGCCATCATGAAGTCCATAAAAGAAGCCTAATAATTATTCTCCAACTATTATACAATACAACTACATCAAAATATTGGCATGAAAAAAGTAAAACAGGACATTTTGAAATAGAAACACTGAAATAGTATTTTCTTGTAAAATGTACTTCAATATGGAAGCCCTGAACTGCAACGTTTAAAAAAAAAATCTAGCATTTCGAGATTAAAGTCGAAACATTTCAAGATTGAAGTCGAAACAGTAGCCTACGAGAATACAGTCTTCCATAGAAGTTGCGTGTGTGCTTGCCATTGTTTCACACACAGGCATTTATAATGGTTCATAGCGAGTGTTTCACACTGTATGTGTGGTTTGTTTAACCCAACAAAACGAAATTCAACAGGTGCCAATATACCAGCATTAGGCTACCATTACAGGACGTAATAAAATATACTGCGTCGGAATAGACTTTAGCCTTTAGGAAAACCCAGAAAACACTTTTCAGACTGGACGGAGATATCCAGCTGTATGAATGAATGAATGAATGAATGAATGAATGAATGAATGAATGAATGAATGAATGAATGAATGAATGAATGAATGAATGAGGCATTTATATAGGGCTTTCAAATGTCTACTAGGCCTACACTCGAAGCACTTTACAATCATAACAGAGAATCTCTCCTAACCACCATTAGTGGTAATTACGTCTGAGGAAATCACGGGATCCGACCAAATGATTGGATACAGAGTGATGCACTTAAAATGTATCCAGAGCATATTTACAGTGAAGAGGGAGACAGAACGGTTACTGTTGTGTTCTCAACCCAGATGGTGTTGCCTAGACGAGCATGAAAACACCTCAAAAACACTGCCACATAAAGTTTGGACCAGTTTGTGATACGTACTCTGGCGGAGTCTATGCACTCGTCTATGGGCAACGCCATAGTAATTCTTGTTGGTAGATTAGCACCTGTGTAGAATTTTGTTGAAAGCCCAGATAAAAGTAAAAAGCTACTATTTTGTGTTGATCCATGGCAGTTCGACTTCACAAGTGCATTTCTTTACACACACACCCAGTGGACGCGCACTGTTATGAATGCACACACTTCTGTGGAAGACTGTGTGTTGTTTCGACTTCAATCTCGAAATGTTTCGACTAAATCTTTGAAATGCTAGATTTTTTTCTTTCTTTTTTTTACAGATTTTTTTTTACGTTGCGGTTCAGGGCTTCTGTACTTCAATAATATGTGTTTAATTTAGAATTATTATTATTATTATTATTATTTTACAAAAATCTGATTGCTTAGAAAAGGAATTGCCCAATCGGATGCTCCAGAAACTGAATACCTTTCTCAGAGGGGCACAGATAATGGCTTCAAAACAAAATAACGAATTCTTCCAAATAACTAGAAAAGAATTCGGCAGACATAGTCATTCCACAGTCACAAATGGTGCAGGTTTACAGTACTACACAGTGTTAGGGATTTACTTAGCCTTAGCTAAGCATGATGAAGAGCAACAGACATGATTGACTTGGCAAATGGCATTAATCAATGTAAAAAATGGAATGAAACTCACCAAACTGAAGTTACTAGAGATGTTCTGGAGAACCGGGGCAGAGGGTATCATTTGTGTCTTTAAGAACTGCAGCTGCAGCCTAGTTGAGTTATTGCCCAAAGTCAGACTCTGAGAGAAAAGAAAAGCATTTGACGTGTTTAAACACGACAGGAAAAAAAAATCTTGTTCTTGTGTCAATACACCATGGATTCGTACTAAAACCTCACAGACATGCCAGAGCAAAATAGATTTGCATACAGAGGCCCCAAAACTATTTGGACATGTTATGCTTGTCAGACAACGTCTAACACAGTCCTACACTACACTCTTGGTTACTCTGAGAAACTCCATATTTTCAATAAAACATTTTTAAATTCAGTTTAAATTTATTACAAAATGAGGTTATTCTGAGAATGGTTAGAATCATGTGTTTGGTGAGATGCCAGTCGGATTTAAATGTGATCCAAACCCGTCCAACAAATTTCTATTTGTAGAGTTATATATACTGATAGCTATTTGCAGTTTAGTTCATTGCTTAATCCAGGGCGCAATGTGTTGTTCAAAGAACAACTATTCAATTGCCAGTCCAGATCTTTGGCCACTAGACTATCCTACTGATAACCACAAGCCGATGCACATGTAATTTTTTTTTTTAAAAAGTGTATGAAAACGAAAATGAAAACGTTCAAGAATCAATCAGTGAAACCCCCATATTGATTGACTACTCTTCTTATGCCCCTCAATGGGTTACAGCCCTGAAACAGATGTGCTTACCTTGCTGTTTATCCAGGCTGTGTGCACTGTAGGAATATCTTTAAGAATTTTGCTGATTAAACTGTGTGCCTGTTCAATAGTTTCCTTATCCATAATGTCCAGTTTTTGAGAGACAGGGGCAGATCCCACGATTCCTACTAACGTGAATAATAAAGCTACTGGAGGAGGGAGGGAGGGAGGGAGGGAGAGAGGGAGAGAGGGAGAGGGAGAGGGAGGGAGAGAGAGAGAGAGAGAGAGAGAGAGAGAGAGAGAGAGAGAGAGAGAGAGAGAGAGAGGCAATTAGAAGTGCGTAACTGTGACGCAGATCTCACATTCATGGTTCAAACACTCACATATGCTTCAGTCATGGCTGGACATCATGATTTCACATAATTGCACCTAATTTACTGTACTGTACTACTGTAGTTACATAACTTATTCTATCTAAACGCTTATTCATTTATATTTTTTAATACATCAATCTTTTAAACGTATTAAAGTGGTATAGTATAGCAAATGAACATATTATTGAAAACAGTATATTAAACAAAATTCTTTAGAATCATTATTTCGTGTAATTCAAAAATGAAAAGGCTTACCCTGGAAGTTCATTATAACAACAGCAATGAAAAAGAAAATGTACAAAGTCTTCAGACTCCAGCAGTAACAAAGCCCCATCATGTTCAGAATTTATATATCCTGCAGGGGAAATTCCTCTTTTTTTTACATTGACGTAGCGCAGACCAATTATGGGTCAAAGCATATAAGGTTATTGATGACTGTGCATTAATAAATTATACTAGACATTATATACGAGAGACTAGTAGTTCATGTACATTCATATATGAGCATATATAAAATATCATAAACAATTTCCAAGTCATTTATTACTACCTAAATGAAAAATGTCATTTTTATTTTGCTACAGTCACTTTTTACTACATTCACTTGAAAAATTAAAACATCATGAACAGATAACAATACATAATCTGAGGTTATTAAAGCATAATTTGGATATAGTAAATTAAACTTATTTTTAAGATTATTAAGATAGTTTGCTCAGAGTTGTTTTTTGTTTGTTTTTGGGTTTTTTTTTTACCACAAGTCTGTATGTAAAATATGATTGAATGTTTTTTCTTTGATTTTTGAGGGACAGTCATCATCAGCCAATGTGTTAAGAAATATAAGTTATTTTTTTTAAGCTAAGAATAAGTTGAATAAGTTAAGAAACAGCTACGTGTAATAGCACAAGACTTTTATATAGAGGCCATTTCACCCCAAGGGTCTAATTTTACCTTTTAACTTCAACACAATAAGAAAAATTACTTCACAAATCTAAAAACATGACAGTGTCAACATATCCCTCAATAACAGATTTGAAAAAAAAAATCATTATAATATGTCACAAATTACTATTTTTCAGAGAACAAAATTAGATAAATAAATCAAACAGGTTTTCATGACTAAATCCCACATGTTGATATTCAGATAAAATGCCAAAGTTAAGAAGAGCATAGCTACTCATTAAATGTTTGTGTGAGTAGCATAGCTACTCATTAAATGTTTGTTGTACTCATTAAATGAGTTTTTGCGCCATCTATGGCCAAGAGAAAATATGACGATATATATTATATTATATTATATTATATTATATTATATTATATTATATTATATTATATTATATTATATTATATTATGATGTAATACCATCTTTAACTTTCATACAGCATGAGTATATTCAAATTAATCACATATTATGTCTGTGTGACCCAAAACATCTCTTGATATCAGTATTGCACTCTTTCTTTCCATGGATTATACAAGACAATGTATATTATCATAAAGACAAATATATCATTATTGCTTTCTGCCAACCAGTTATGACGTACAATGGGATTTTCACTACTGATTCAATACATTTGTGTACATTTGTAATGGACTATGAGCTAATATGTTACGTAAGCAATTCTTTCCTAGTGCACACTGGAAAAAAAGTGTCTGCTAAAGGATTGCATGTAAATGAATCAAAATTCAATCTGTCACAATCAGTTAAACAATAGTCCTCAAGATTACACGAAGTGGTGATTATTGCTGAACTAATTATATATTAGATTAATTGTTAAAATGATGTCAGTTCAGAGGTGAGAAAAACATGTAAACAAATATTTTAACTATTAGATTCTCTAAGATTCTCTTAATTCTTAATCATTAATTTACTCTGCCATGATGACACTAACCACATGGTAATGCATGGTGTTGTGTAATCTCACAGGCAGAGTTTCCATTAAAGGAAGCAGAGGGGAAGAGATGGTGTCAACGAGATGAGGGGAAAGGGGAAGAAAGGTTTCTATGGTGTCACGACCGGCTCAAAGCCGTGGCAAATGAAATGGAGGACACAGTGATTGGATTGCAAAAAATAAACATTTATTAACATAAATGTTAAAAAATATAAAAACAAGAAAACATGGTCATCTGTAATGTCTGTCAGGTGCATGGATGTAAATGTATCAGTAACAGAAATCAGAAATCTAAACCAAATAACAAAAGCCAAGCCCAAATCAAACACAAAGTAACCCGGAGAACAGACTCTCCCTCCATACTAGCCAGCCTAACTTTTAGGAACTTTTAGCATCATCTAAAATGATATCACGTAGTATAAGGAGTGAGTATATAAAAGGTGTGTGTGTGTGCGTATTATTATCATTATTCCTTCATGACTAACTGATTTCCTCCTTCCTTAGGCATTGTAGGCTTAAGTACATCATAGCAGTAATGTCATGTGGTACTTGTGTTATTGTAATGGTGCATTTTCGTAAAAAAAAAAAAAATAGAAATACATTTTTTTTTCTATCAAGATTCTGTATGCTTTATGGATCCACCAGACATGTTGCCTGTGAGTATGAGACCTTTTTAAATCAGTTATGTAAGCTAATTAGTTTCTCCCTCTCACAGGGAGAAGGCCCATCAGTTGAGGAGGATGAGGAGACTGTGTTCAAGGAGGGGGTACTCACAGGTTCCATCCATGCTATACTGTATTGAATATTAAAAAGTGTACTTGTGTGATAAAATGATCATAATGTGTTTTCAGGATGCTGACACTTTTCTAGAGCCCTCTCAGTCTGGGACCACATGTGACAAAGTGAGTATTAAGAAATTAAAACAATGTGACAAGAGTAATGAAATAACTTAAATGTTGCTACATAACCCAGAAAACATAAAAGGAGAGTATAAATGATACTGCCTTAAACAAATGGAAGCAACTGATATCGACATCTAGTATAAAAAACTAAAGATGAGGAAGTTGGAGCTGGAAATTCAACAGCTAGAACTACCATTTTTTTTAAAAAAGGAAAAGAAGAAAAAAAAAACATTATCTTTTTGATCATTCACAACATTTATTTGTGTGTTTTCACCCCTAACAGGCAGATTCACTCTGAATAAAGACAAATCACATTAAATACTCTTTGACTTCTGTGTGTTTGTTCAACTAAGGAGAAAGTTGAGGGGCCAGTGGAAAATTTTAAAGGCTACACAGTCATGGTTTAGACCATATTAAACATAATAATTATTTGCATATGTGTGGGCTTGGTAATCTACAAATATATGCAATCCCATCTCTTGAGAACCTATATCGTTCATACAGGTAGCTGTCATTTAATGCCAATGGGTCTAAGCCAACGGTTCTCAAACTGGGGGCCGTGGCCCCCTGGGGGGCCACTAGATGGCGCTAGGGGGCCGCAAAGAAATTCTAGAATTTGAAATTATTTTAAAAAAATTATTTTACCTGTATGTAAGTTTGGATTGTCCTATGTGAAATCTGCATTGCATGATTTCTTTTATATTGTAAAACTTGTATAAAATTGTATGTCTTCTATATTTGAAAAAGTATTTCTTTAAGTAGAGTAGAATTTTTTTTTGTTTCTTGCTGAAAAAACAGATTGCTGTTCAAATTTGCAAACCAAACTTGAGCCACTGTCATTTACTACCTTAATGTAAGAAGTTTAATGCACTTTTTTACAATCAGCAAATTAATTTTTCAGTGTTTATCTTTTACTATGAACATCACAAATGTTCAGTAGCCTATTCAATACTTTTGTTGCACTTTTCAGACAATATTACTGTTAACTGTCAAAACCATTTTTTATAAAAAATTTTTTTTATATTTAATGAAATGTACAATTTAACTAATTTTGTATATTCAAAGACATAAAGCTAAAAACAGAACTGTTGTTCCAGCATTGTACAAATTCATTTGTTTTTGGTACAATCTAAAATTTGTAAGTAAAATTGTACGTTTGAGGATGTTTTCATTATGAGTTTTCTTTTGGGGGGCCACAAAAGGATTCACCCTACACAAGGGGGCCTCCTCCTGAAAAAGTTTGAGAACCACTGGTCTAAGCGGCAACCTCCCCGTCTCTTGAAGCCAACACGGAAGTGAATTAAACTGCAATTTATCGAGTGGCCGCTTGAGGCAGGCTGCAGAAGCGAGTCAAATCTGTATCTCCCCCATGTTAAAATGCCCAACTTTACAGCAGAAAAAACATGTTTACAGCCTGGAGCAAAAAGTGGCTTTGGTCTATAGAGCTCATTTTTCCCTTCATGACAACTGTGAGGGGGGTGAATTTTTTTACAACTCATCTGTTTAAATTATATTTAAGCCTTAAAGTTCTGCATAATTAAGGGCGTGGCCACTTGAGTGACAGGTGGATTCTTGCGGCCGCTTTCACTGCTAGTCGTTTGTCTGCTCTCTGTTAGCGTCACCCTCAGCCGTGTTTCTGCTTTTTCCGGGATTATTTCATACAATTCAATACATGTATTTTACCTTCGCCCGTGCTGTTGGATTCCGTCGTGTTGAGTATGGAGAGAACAACCAGCGCCGTGTTTCAACCAGCAGCTGTTTCCCTCGCATGCACTAATGGATGTCTGATGATTTCAGTGCTTTCTCTCTGTCCATGCAATAGATGCACACCCTTGAATGAGCGCGGATTTCTAGTTCATTTACTTGAAGTTCTGAGGTAATATCTTTGGTTTGACCCATCTGAGAAACTGAGAGGCAGCCAAAATCAGATTGTAAAATGCACTGAATTAAAGCTCTTTACGAACTTGACGTGAGATGCCGACTGACATGTGTGCTTGCCTTGAATCACTGTCACATGCACAAGCTTAGAGCAATATTGTAAGTAATTAATACATTTTTAACTAGCAGAATAATGCATCACGATGCACATAGTTGACTGCTTGTATGTTGTGAGAAATGTGTGTGATCTGTGTTAATGTATTTGTATACATGCTCTTAACTAATTGCCCCTTGTGAGATTAATAAAGTTGATAAAAAAGTAAAGTAAATAGTCTCACTTTTAGTTACGTCTTAACTATTATAATATTTCGAAGGGCAAAACATGAACTTTAACCATTGGCTTTACTTTTTCAATCAGCTGTCAATTCAGCGGCAGTAGCATAGCATTAGCACCTCAGCTCCACCCGCGTCCCGCCTCTTTGCCCATTTTAATTTATCCGGTAGTGACGAGAGGTGACGCACTGCCAAGATGGTGACGGCCGGCCCCACCCACTTTAGTCTTCAAAAACGCTCTTCAGAAACCTATGGGTGATCTGCCATAAAACGAAGAAGAAGAAGAAGAAGAAGAACCTATGGGTGACGTCACGGACACTACGTCCATATTTTTTTACAGTCTATG